TTTTATTTTTTTTTTTTTTTTCTTCAACTGCTGTATACATTATTATATGTCTCTACGATTGTATGTGCATTGGCTAAGGTGTTATCGTCTCTAAAAGATCATGGTTTTATTTATTTTCTTTTTTCATCATTTCGTTCGTTTCCAATTCGATTTACATATTTTTTATGAATAATAATTTTTAATCAATTAAAAAATAAAAATCATTTTTATTCATGAATCGAAAAAGTTCCTTAATAACTTTTCACTACAAACTATGGATGTATCGCTGATGACTGGTTTGAGGCTTTTCTTATGCTATAGAGATTTTTTTTTTTTTTTTGTTTTTCTTTTTTCCATTTTTGTTTCTTATCAGATTTTCGTATTTTTCTATGGCGTCTTTCAATATTTGATTACTGAGTTTTTCTTTTCTTTTCTTTTAAGATATTTTTATTGATGCCATCCATTGAATATAACATTATCTTGATATGACAATTTTAGTTGGATTTAATGAAAGTAAAAAATATCTAAATGATTTAAAATCCATTTGAGACATTTGAGAAGTGCGCAGTTGATATAAGGACTTTCCAAATTGAAAGAGTATAAGAGTTTAAAGAGATTAAGAGAATGCCAGCAATATTTGAATTGTTAAGCGCGTTAAAAAATCAGATAGTCATTAAGTATACGCTTGTTGGGGCAGCGAAAAGCCCGACGGCACGGCCATCATTACCAAACAATCAAATCTTCTCAGTAAATTCGGATGTCTCAAGCAAAGTTTAACAAAAAATGTTCACAAGTAAGATCGGAATATTCTCTTCACTTCTTGCGTATATCGGAAATTGTTTAGAAGGCCCTTAAACAATAAATTTAAACAATATGATGTAGTCTCGATGTCGATATAAGAGGATGGTGTAAGGAATACAATGCCAACACAGGATATTGAGACGATTATAAGGATCTTTAGTCAGTTATCGCTGACAAATAATATAATGTCGACTCTATCTCGAAGCAGGAATTGGATTAATATATACAATGTCGACGCGTAGTCGACATAGAGTTGCAAAGGATTTATCATTTTATATCGAGACGATTTTAATGACCGTTAGTTTATGTTAACAAATAATATAATGTCGGCTCTATGTCGATGTAGTTGTAAGAAATACAGAGTGAACACATGGTCAACAAAGGGGAGGGCAAAGGCTTATTCAATCATTAGATGTTGAGACGATTATAAGAACTTTTGGTCAGTTATCGCTGAAAAATGAAATAAAGTCGACTCTATCTCGGCGTAGGACTTGCCAAATCGTCGCTTTCAAGGATAGTAAAAATAATTTCGCGCGACATAACATCAAAAACATGAAACGAACGTTTACCGAGTTTTTCATCCGTAGGGCTCTCTAATAAGAGGCGATATTAAAAGTATATAAATATTTTTAATGCATAATTATAGGCAATTACATGGACATGAGCAAAAGTTCACAAAATTTCATTCTCTTAAGAATGATATTTTCTTCTTTTGCATTGTCTTCTTAAAATACATTCATTGTACTGATTAAAAACGAATCCTTCCTTGCAAAAACAGGCTTCAACACACCGCCCTGTACAAACGGCATTTGGTTTATAACGTTGACATCTGGGTGGACAAGTGGGTCCACAATCTAAGTATACTTGATTTTTGCCACATTTACCTGAAAGCACAATTTACTTAAAAAATTTTGACTTGATTTTAATGCACAATTACCATGAAATCGGTTATATGCTGCGGATATCTCCAAGGCAATTATAAAATTAATAAAAATTATTAACTTTAGCTTAAACATTTTTGTAAATAACATTTAATATCATACGCTTTATAAGAAGAGTGTATATCTACTAAATATTGATTGCTAGCGATATTTCGCTTTTATAGAAAAGATACTTTATGCAATTCTTACTAATTAAACCGTTATGATTCATACAATATTATAAAGTAAAGGTGTGTGTAAGACGCCATCTGCTTATTGGAATAATTCCCCCTCGCAGCCATTCCAGCTTGCTTATTATCGAAGTGCGAAATTAATTTATGATTCTGTTTGCAATATCGGCGAATAAATATCGCGGATACCGGAGATATACATGTGTGCGTATTTGAATTCAGGTAAGACTCGCTCAGTTAGCTTCAAATTATAGTTGGAAAGAAAATGCTTACTAATTCAGTTCACTTGAAATCGAAGAAGACTAGGTGAAGTTAGGCCTACCGAAGGCTCTCACCGACACTGAAAGGTGGAAAGGAAATTACATTCGGCTATGGCCGAAATTTACTTTCTCATCACATTTATCTTGAAAAAAAAAATATCGAGAAAAGTGCACTTCCGATACTCTGTACTATTCGGTGACTGTCGCTGAGTTTTCCATTCATGCGTGATTTTTCCAATACACGTCAAGATTTTTATCATTATATCTGTTATAGTTTTTAAGTAATGAAAAAAAAATTTGTTATTTTTGAAAATTAAGATGTTTTCTCAATTTATGTTCCACTGTGGGCGTATACTTTCACCGATTTAGAACATTTTGAATTCCATTCTAGATCCAAATACTTTTGATGTGTTTGCCAACTTTGAAATCGATATCTGTAACTTTTCAAGAGATGGTTTCTCAAAAACATTATACAAACAAACGGAAAAACGTACTTAGATCGATTCAAAATTTTCTACCGATTAAAGGCATATTCGGTTTCTTCAACGTTTTGTGAGTGTTTTCACGAAATGGATGATCAACTAGCATCAGGTATATAGCGTCGATGGACGCAAAAATTACGAAAACGACTACGCGTGATATACACACGGTTACACACGGTCCCTTCCGTATATGCATTTATGTACATATATGCCTCCTATGTATTTATATATGTATATGTACAGGCGGTTGTGGCTAACCAAGATTAATTACGTGTTCATTTCCCCAACTTTAGCATGGAAATAATTCAAATAATATTTCGTTTCATGAAGCATCGCAAGCAGTTCGATCCGCAAACAACTGTTTTGTTGAATTTTACAAAGCGAAAATTTTAAAAGAAACTTAAACAGACCTGACGCAAATGTTTCAAATAACTACGTATCGTCCGGCCTACAACCACATGAATATATTCAATTCCTGAAAAATACGCAGATATGTTGAAAGAACCAAAACAGCGGTGCCTTTAAGTGAGGGTCGTATGTTTTTAATTTGAAGTGGAAGAAAACAAGGCGGCGTAAAATAACAATGTGAGTTTTTATACCCAATAATCCTTGTGGCGAAAGGATATATTGACTTTGTGGATATATGAGCTAACAAGCAGAAGGACTTAACATAAACTTACCTCTTATTACACCGATCAATTGAGGATCATTTTCTTAACCCGTGTATGCTTGTCTGATTATCTTGCTTTTAGCTTATAGCGTTCAGCTTTTTGCTACACCCACTTGTTAAGGCCCAACGAAGAATGCTATTGAAAATGCTTCGTATCGAACCACTTTTTCGATCACTTCCCCCATAATGTGCTATTTTGAAAAGTAATAAGACATTATGAGCAACAGTAGGGTGGTGTAGGGTATTTGATTTGTGGAATTTTTATTTAAAAAAAGGACTTAATATAAATGACAATTCATTATGAACAAATAGGGACATAGATGATCATTTAACATGACACCAGAAATAAAAAAATTGAGTTATATCGCATGATCTTGGCGGTCAAGTTACGTCAGCATTTCTTTGAACTCTCGAACTTATCTGTGTTGTGTTTCACCATCTTGCTTAAGGCAAGTATGAAAGTCAAATTTTAAGTATTTTGTCTCGATAATAAATGAATAATTGTGTTAGACAAGGTTGCCCAGGGTGTTTATTGGTCGACTTTAATAAACAGTTCTTACTTCTTCACTTAATTGCGTTTATTACAATCATTCAAGTGAAGCCAAAGCAAATAGATTGTCGCTTCTTCAGTCTATTTCCTTTATATGCCGAGTTTTGTCGTTCGATTCATCAAATGCCATTTAAAACATGGGGATGAAATTGATATATTAAGCTAAAGAAGCTTAGAAAATTAGGGCATCTCTTCAATGAAGCCTATAATCAAAAACTTGGTCTCGCCACGTATTCCTTTGTCGGCCTTTTGAAATCAATTCTACAACTTTCGGGTTTGGACGATTACTCGTGACTGCCAAAGTTCATGATTGGGCTAAGCAGGACAAGGGATTTTGCCACACAAAGTGAATTATTGATGATTATTGTACAGCAACTGTTCAATCTTATTTTATTCATTAATTCTTCTATTAACCTAACACTAGTTTGTCATATTTTTATCTCGAGTAATCCTACATTTATTGCTTCGACGACTACGTCAGCTTGTAAGTACCGGAACGCGATATAATGTTACGGCCAATCCAGCAAAATAAATGTCATGAACTATTTTGCAATAGTAACTAAATATCATGCAACAATTGCGAGTTAATCTGCTTTGTTTGTTGTATCATGAAAAAGTAAAATTTTGCACAAGAATTGTCAGTTACGCCCTTCGAACATTTACCTTAAGCTATTTGCGGTATGAAGTTGTCCAATGTCTGTTGATACACTTCAATGAAATGGAACGAAACGAGTTAGTGTAAGTTATTTCAACAAGACAAAGAAAAAAGCATTTATCATAAATAATTTAAAGATTTTTATAACAATTCTTCACAATTGCTACTACGGTTTTCGTGTAAATATTTTAAAAATATAAAAAAAAAAAAATTGTTTTTTCGTTTTTTTTTTTAAATTTTTTGATGATATTAACATTTATCAGGTAGTAAGAGAGAACATACAAGGAGGATGATTCCTTTAAAATGCGTCATTTTTCGTTTTTGTTTGATGATATAATCATTGCTAGAATTAAAGTTAAACGAAAGGTGAGCGAAAAATCTAACAAAAAGTCACAAAATGAACTTGAGAAAAGAAAAATCCTTTCATACATTGATACATTTATGTCGCAAAAATGTGAAAAGAATAAAAGAATGAAGTGCATAAGTACTTACATCCATGTGGGTACACCCTGTAAACCAGTTGCAACGTGCAGCCATGAAGTGAAGATGGTCAGAAATACGAATGCCGCTGCTCGCGTTGATGTTATTTGTGTTGTTGTTTCTGTTGTTTTTGTTGTTCTTGTCCACGTAATCCACAATGAAAAATGTTTCCTTTTAAGAAATTCCATTTTTATTATTAGTTTTCAACGTTCTTAGAGGTGACGTGTTGCCAAAGTCTTAAGTAATCTCTGGCCAACAAATAATACCCACAGCACACAGCTCTGGTTTATATATATATATATATATATATATATATATATATATATATGTGTGTGTGTATATATGGAATCTCCTTTCCTTTTTATTTTTTATTTTTTTTTTTTAACTCACTACCCACTGACTTTAGACAGACTATTATTGTAAGCTGGCCGTTGATAGCTTGGCTGGATTTTAGCCAAAAATAAAAAAAAGAGCAGAAAAAATCAAGCAAGCAAGCTATTACCACCCAACCAAAAACAAAAAAAAAAAAAAAAAAAAAAAACGAAAAAAAATGAAACTACCTATAAAAAAAAAAAAAAAAAAAAAAAAAAAAAAAACGAAAAAAAATGAAACTATATTTCTCACTTGTTTCTTTTTCTTAAAAGTTTTTCAACACATACTTGTACGCCACACAAAAAACGGTTTTTGGCGGTAAATCGTTTTAATACCATAGACGACATAATACACGTTCCGTACATTGATTCTGTGGTTACTATTGCCGCACTTTAGTGGAAGCATTTCATTTTATCAACAACAACATCATCATCATTATCATGATCATCATCATCATCATCATCATTCAAATATTATTAATCACTTTTATACGTTTGCACTCTTTCACTACGCTACTCGTTAAATATTCAAGAATCATTTCTCTCTCTCTCACCCTTTTTTCTATTGAATTTTTTAGTTTATCATGAACTTTTCTTTATATATTTTGAAGATTTTTACATTTTCAGTTGACATAAGATTTTTATTTCCTAACCTAACGCCGCACTCACTACTAATGAGACTTTATGTTGTTTACGTTTTTAAAATATTTCTCCTTCTTTTTACGGTTATTTCGTTGTATCGTAAAATTGGACGCCTCCTTGACAGGGCCCCCTTCGTGAAACGTAAATAAATAAATCTGCAAAGATAACGAAAAATACATAAAATGTTTAATACGCATCACGCAAAACATCTAAGAAATGTCTTAATGTAGTTTTTTTTTATGGTTTTATTTATCTATTTATTCTTTTTCTTATTATTATTGCTGTCATCTAAGAGTAGAAAGATAAAATTTTGTCAATCTGCTTATAATGTTCAAATAGATTAGATTGGTTTTTGGCTATTTGTCATAGGTTTAACGAAATTCTGTTAGCGAATCATTTTTTATTTAACACACGAAGAAAGATCAAAAAGCTTCATTAGTATCTTGTCTTCTAAGCTCAACGCTAAGCAACGATATCTGTAATCAGCAGATACTGATGCATTGTTGCATTAGAGTAGGGAAAGCTCAAGGAAAACAGTGCCAAATTGTTTTGAAAAAGTCGGCAAGGCAAGCAGAATTGAAAAGATTCTATTATGGAACTTTTGGAGACTACGCAGGGCTTTTTAAACTCGGTTTAAAAAAAACTTGTTTATATTTAGTGACCAATACGTTTTCAACGTTGTATTCATAAGGCTTTGTACGTGATGGATCTATTGTCTTCACATACAATAAATTTTGCTGATATCAAGCACTTTTCCCGCCATCAACAATTATTACCGACTCAAGCTTCTTTAACGCATGACTACTACATAACCCTTTTGAAATTTAACACTGGCATCTGCCAGTGATACATTGGTTTATGAGTTATAGGCAACATTTATCTGCGAGACTTTTATGGCAGCGATAACTTACGTCCCCTAATTTGCGACGCAATTCTGCATCACTTGAAGAGGCTTTGCTAAAACTCGAGTACCAGAAATGAAAGATTGATTATAGCCCAAATCTTTGCCTCTGGTCAAGTCGGCGCATATTTAGCAGTTCTAATTATTTAGTACGGCCGCACTTGAGCCGTAGACGTAGGTGGCACGATACTTCCCGAAAGATGGTACCCAGCAGTCACAGCGTTTCTGCTACAAATGACTCCATCGATAATACAATTACGTTAAATTTTATTGAACTGTCCCCTACGAGGGGATTAAGAGGAGATCAAAAATCTCCGCAAGCTGATTTGGTCAGTATTAGGGATAAATATCCTCGTTGTAAATTTTTAAAAATTATGGCACGAAATAATAGCGAAATTTGGAGAATTTTATTCTTAGTGGAAAAGACAAATACCTGGGAACAAATAAACAAATGTTCAAAGGCTTCATTACCTAGGGAGTTATATAAGGTGTGAGTACGGGATCGTAGAGTGAACGTTACCAAGTTAAACAATTTTAAATCGTCCTATTGGAAACAACGCTACAAACTTTACCATTGACCAATGACAACGGACATATATTCTATGGGAAAGTGAGAAAAATCTTTCAGCAAAGTAGCGGAGCAAGTTCTTGTCAAATAATACTGCATCACATTGCGAATCAATTTTCCAATCTTTAATTAAAGTGCCTGCTTAGAAAAGAGTGTCCAAGATTCGTTCTAAAGCACGGACAAATTTCTTATTGGTTTTCTACTTTTTAATGTCTCTCTCCTTTACAAGAACGCGTTTAGTAAATAAAGAAAATTTTTTGACAAAGATTTGATGATTATACCATAATAAAACAAACGCATCATGGACATTAAAAATGTTAATAAAAACTTCGTCTATATTTCATTCGAAATGATGCTTTGTCAGCCACCGTAAAATCTCAGCAATTTTACTGAAGTTCCAACAAATGGTAAAAGGAAGCAGAGATTTCATCTAAAAGGTACAACAGAAATAAGACCTGGGAAGCGATTACGTGCATTTCTAACGATTTAAGAGCTCAAACATTTGGCTTAGAAAAAATAACTTACGATCAAATACAGAAGTAAACTGGTTATAATTAATCATTCAGCAAAAACTGCGTCCATGACTTAGTTAATGGAGAAAGTAATGCAAAAAGTTTGCAAGTTTCCAGCAAAGCTCCTGATTGCGGGATATCTTCTACTGTACGCTACAGGTTTACATTAATTTCAATTGGTCAGCGAATACGTCTACTGCCGTCTGAATTAGCTAATATGAGACGTATAGCATATTTAAATATACGGGGAAGGCACTTTAAATTTACCTGGCGCCGAATAGGAGGTTAATGGACATTATAGTGCTGAGAAATTTATTCATTGACAAATTTAAAATTTTTAATCGATTCTTGCTGAGATGAGGCGTATATTCATTTTGTGAAAATGTTTGGAACCGCCTAGAAGGAAACATCAGAGACCCCACAAAGCATATATATTCTTGATCAGCATCAAATTCTGAATCGATTTAAGCATGTCCGTCTGTCCGGATGACTATCTGTGCGTCTATGTAATGTCTGGTGTAAGCCCTCTCTTGGCCGCAAAAATGAAGCTATCAACTTCAAATTTCGCACGCAGGTTGGTATTGAAAATGGACCAAATCGGTCGAAGGAGACTGAGAACCTCTTTGTTTTTCAAATGAACTGAAAAATTGATTTCTTGCTCATTACCAATAAACTATAGCAGATAAATGTAAAAAAGCTAAGCGTGAAGTATGGACTGAGTTTTAAACAATGCATTAGACGGGAAGAATAAGTGATATGTCACGTCGTTGTGATATTCACGGGGCTAGCAAACTCGCATCTACAAAAGGTCAAGCAGAGAGTAATAACCAACAAGAAACATTTAGATTAATTTCGCTCAAAAGCGCTGACAAATTAATTTCACCATTCATTCGCAACTTAACCGCAAAGGTTACGCGTAAAATGTGCCTACATTTCTCAAGATTAGGTAAATCGACATGCAACGATGATTGGATGTTCGCAAGATGCACAGCAAGAACAGTTCTTCGACGGATGGGACTATGCAAAAAAAATTTTAACAGAAAGGACCCCTTGCTTTGGTATAGATGTCAAATAGCTTTTGTTCACCATTAGCTGTAGATATTGGAAAAATTTTAATTTTTTTTCATTCTTAACCCTTCAAGAGGAAGATTTTTTAAATACTCAAAATTCCATTTAAAAGTTTTAGTAAAAGAATGGATTTCTGAAGTGAATTAACTCAATAGTGCCGATACAATACGTGACCTACCACTACATAAAAGTTGAGTTGAGTCGTTTGACTTCTAAGCTCAACTCAGCCTCTCGCTTGCGTTAGCATGGCCGTGGCAATGGGAACTGGCCCTTCAAATGCTTTAGACGCGCTGTTGGGCATTGAACCTCTCTCTACAGGCATACAAAGAGATGGATGCCTCAGCTCACTTAGATTGCCTAGCATTGACCAACTTAAACCAGCTAATCTTAAGGCCAGCTGAAAATTCTAAACGAGTGCATAGACGAGTCTGCAGTCAAAATACAGAATTACTGTACCGTAAAAGCTATTCTGTTGCACCGATTTAGAACCGGAAACCATAGCGGAAAAAGTTGGACGAGAAGGCCATATCGTTGAACCCAGTTCAATAACGCAAAAATCTTTTTCTGATGCTTGAAAACTGGAAAATGGCGAAACCGAAGTTGGCCCGAGGGTTGCAAAGGCCATATCGCTAAGTCATACTCAGGCAAAATATTTCAAGAACAAGTTTACGCCATCGTATGAGGTAGAGAAGCACAATGCGGTGCACCTACCTTGCGTACCCGGACTAGCCGACAGGTTAGCCTGAAGGGCTATGATAACCTCTCGGAACCTCTCTGCGGTGCACCAATAATCCCCACCAAGAGGTTGGTATCGCAATGTTTACAGATAAATCAGCAAGCCATTGGAAGCGAAGTATACGGCAACGGAAACTTAAAAGGTTCATCAAATCCTTTGAAGTAACCCACAAATTGTTGAAACCGCGAAGGAGCGAATTACTTCATAACTCCTTCAGGTATCATCTGAAAAATATTGCTTTTTCACACACCGATCCATGCAGACTCTGCGATGGCGCGAAGGGAACATTCTATCATATCCTATGTGAATGTGCGGCAGGATCAGATACCACGTGCTTAGCGAACACCTTATAACGCCGAACACCGCTTGGTTCTCGAAGCCTAAAAAAAATGGCGGGATTCAGAAAGATCGCAAAACTGAAGGACTAGGAGTGCGAGCAAGTAAAATAGGTCTTTTCAGGCCGTGTTGCGGATTCCTCAGCCCTTTAAAATTACAATTTTGATCAAATGAAATGTAGTTGAAAAGACTGAAAACATGCAATTAGGAGTGGAATTTCTGCAGTGGACAAGACTAGGGGACTAGAACAAAAAAAGATAATACAAACAAACTCAAGAGCGACAAATATCGTGACAGTTAGGCACTTTAAATGAACAGTGAGACGGGCAGTCACAATTCTCTCTTAGGTAAAGATTATTATCTTAAAATTTACATAAGACTTTAGCTTAACGCATGCGTTCTAAATATCAAGAAGCGAACATTAAAAATTTACCTTAATCAATTTTCAGAATGGACAGGTTTTTGTGTAGAAAAACTAAGTAACTATAAGTGTATGTATATGAAAATTTTTGTAAGCCTAATGGTTCCGTTCGGTCGCGGACAATGTAATCCACTTAAAAGCTTATAGTTTGCATATTTGAAATGTTTTTTTTCATGGATTAACTTGAAAAAACCCACGAAACAGAATTGTTTTTAAATGAGAAGAAGAAGAAAAACACATTACAATAAACGAAATTGAAAAGTTCGTAAGTTTACCTTTACTTTATGTATGCTTATGTGCGTGTGTATGTGTGTGCGTGTGTGCGTGTATGTGTGTGTGAGTTTCTATAAAACATATAAATTAAGGGAGAAAAAACCAAAAAAAAAAAAAAAAAAAAAAAGGATTAAGAAAAAGATATTTTCGAAACTTTTCCTTTAATGCATTAACAAATCCTTTCACGTGTTGTGTAAATGTTAAGGACAAATGAAAATGAAAAATGAAACAAGTAAAGTATAATTTCATTTCCAATCAATTCATGCGATTTCTTTTGACTTAATTCAAACAGATTATTTTATTTTTGCGGTATACAAGCAACGACAACGACATACTTGGC